AAATGTGACCAAGCACAAGGCATGTCCATTGCTGAGTATGTGATGGCACTTCGGAAAACTGTGTAACTGTGCAACTTCACAGACTTAAATGAGAGACTCTGGGACAGGCTTGTATGTGGCCTGCTGATCAAAAAGCTACAACGGCGGCTTTTTGCCAAAAAAGAACTTACATTCCAAATAGCATATGAAGAAGCTGTTGCTGCAGAGACTGTCAAACAGTCAACCAAAAAAAGTGCATCAGTCCAGAACTCCTCCAATGCCCCACAAGTTGTGACTGGTACATCAGGAGAATCTGGAAGAATCGGACAGCAAGAATGACCCAGTCCACCGAACGCAGACTGAGAGATGGAAGCACTCCAGTCAACAACCCACTCCCAGATCCCAATGTGCCAGTTGCGGAGGTACAAGCGCGATACGGGGGTTTGCTTGCCTGCCCAACCCTGGGGTGAGCTGTGCACTCTACATATCTGTGTGACTCTGTGTGCTGTCTTGGCTGGTTGCCGCAGAGACTACACACTGGAAACATGGTCCGGAATCAAGGTAAGCCACAGAGCCAAAGGTTGGATAGCCAGGAAGTCAATTCAAGGTTGCAGGTTTCAAGGACAGGGAGTGGCTGTTACACACAGAGAAGCAGGTCTGAGTATGCAAAGTTGCTGCCGTGCTGGAGCAGGTGCAAGGAGTGCTTTTGAACAGGTCCTCCCTTCCTTGGGAGCTGAGTCTGCCAAAGCTTACAGCTCCTCCTGTTGCCTTTGCAGGAGCTGCAGTCTGGCACTCCTTCGCTCCTGCATAGTCAGCCTCTGGCACACCCAACATCTGGGGCACTCAGGAGAACTAGGCAGGGAGTCTGGCTTCGGGTTGTCTGCAACTGGGGTGCTGGGCCAGGCTCAGGATTGGTCTCTCCTTCTGACTGCACCTCCTGTGCAGCTACTGGGGACTCTTCCTCCTCAGGTACTGTTGAAGGTTCTTCTTCTGGGCTGACTCCAGATGAGGCTGGGTTGCTCCCTGTCTCCTCCTCATCTGAGGAGTAGTCAGCCTCAGCAGAGCCAGTACCCATGACACCCCATTAGGGAGGGAGGGAGGGAGGGAGGGAAAGCAGGCAGTCTCCTCTGGGGTCTGCGCCCTAGGCAGCCGCCTAGTTGTCCTAATGGTAGCACCAGCCCTGGGACTTGGAGATTCTTGTTGGTTTTCTACAGGTGCTGCCTTGCAAATGTTTGGGAAATAATAGGATTTTTCCTAACTGGGAAAAAGATTTGACAGTGAAGAGGAAAAGATAATTTAGAAGACAGGGACTGGGGGAGGGCATTCTGGGTTTGTGCACATGGCCTGGGTATAATTTGGATGGTCAAAGGTTTCAGCACCCTTATTTGACCCTCTGTGACATTCCAGCTTGCACAGGTTAATACTTAGTGCAATTTTCCTCACTTCCCTTTCTTATGCATCTCCAGAGAACGAGAAGGTAATGCTTACTCCATGTACCTTAAATGCAAATAAATCCAACAACCAAAGCTCAAAAGGGCACATGGGGGGTGATTGAAGCTTGATAGGATCTGTCCCCTGAAATCACTGCATCTGTAGCTGAGTTCCTCTCATTGGTATGGAAGCTAAGGGAAGCTAAGCTTTTAACACTTAGTTCTTAATGTACCATTTTCTTTTGGGATATATTATTCTGAATTCGACTGTTTCTAACCTTTTCCTCTACTAATGTGGTATATACTGTGATTCTATCTTATTTTTATGTTTCTGTAATACTATGCCAATAAAGGTCGATGATGATGATGATAGGATCTGAATAGACAATGGGTGATTCTTCATCTGGCATCCACTCCACATTTTCTCAACACCGTGGAAAAGGTGCAGCTGAAAACCACATTCAGAATACCCCAGGCCAATGCCGTATTGACTGCAAAGTCACCCCTGAACGGCCAAAAATCTATGCAGAAGGTACCATAAAACCTGATGATCAAAGAAAGTGAAAGCGGCATGCAGTGTGGAGGGTATCATAAAATCCGATGATCAAAGAAAGTGACAGCAGTATGCAATGCAGAGGGGAATTTCTGTTCCAAGGTGGGTTTGGTAAACAACGGAGGGAAAAGCCAATGCCGAATCGCCCAGTGTCTTGAAGGGGAAAACAGTCCCTGCAGATTCCTCACTTTCATTTTGCCCGCAAGTGGAGAAAGAGGAAAGGGAGGAGGAACAGAGTGTTTGTTATAGGAGAGACTTCCTGTTCTGATGATTGGAGAAAGGGATGGAGAAAGACCTCCATGGTGGGTGAATCTTCTGTAGGAACGTATCTACACTGGGTAGACTGTTAGTCCTTATTGTTTAACTGTGGCTAGTGAAGTAGGTATGGACATTTTTTTAAAACAGAGGGTTAAATTTTACTTTTGCTGTTGTAACTATCCTGATCCTGTGAGGATTTGGATGAGACCGAAACTGCTTCACACAGCAAATGGAGATCGGGCCAACCAGATCCAATTAAGGCGATGAGGCACCGCAGTGACAACAGAGTGGCCACCAGAGGGCAATAAAATGATGCAGACAGCAAAAAAACGAACGATATAGTAGGAAGATTAATCCGAAATGAAATGTAGACTTAGAAAAAAAAAATGATGCGCGGCCGTTGTCACAGCAGTGAGAAAGACCAATGCAGATTTGAGCTAAAACCCAGTTTAGAACACAAGAACATGAGAAGATCCCTGGCAGAGCAGACTAAGATTCTGTCTATTCCAGTGGTTCTACTGTGCTCAACGCCATGCTTCTGGGAAGCTTGCAAGCTTGTTATGGGCAACATTCTTCCCATGCTATTGCCCCACCTTCACCCCCAGCAGAGGTACACTGCCTCTGCCATGAAGGTTCCCCGGACAGGCTCTTTTTGTAGCAGGAGCTCCTTTGCATATTAGGCCACACACCCCTGATGTAGCCAATCCTCCAAGAGCTTACAGTAGCCCCAGTAAGAAGAGCTCTGTAAGCTCTTGGAGGATTGGCTACACTAGGGAGGTGTGGCCTAATATGCAAAGGAGCTCCTGCTACAAAAAGAGCCCTGCGACCCAACCCGAATTCCCATGGCCGCACAGTAGCTGTGGGGAATTTTTTTAAAAAATAAATGGTAGCCCAAACAGGCTCAGAATCCACTGTGGGAGGGAGAACGGATTTCCGCTTTACTGCCCAAGATTCCCCCCCACACAGAAACAGCACAGGAGGGAGATACTTTTCTGGTTTTGCTGATTCCCCTCTCTTGCATGTAAGCACAGACAGGCAAGAAATAACTCCTCTGTGTTCATTGATCTTCAGTATAAACAGTGAGATTTATAAAACTCAGGCTTGGTGTAGAATACACCAGTGGAACCAGGAAGGGAGCTCTTCCAGGTAAATTCATGCTGTGACTATTCAGCCTTGGAATAAGAATCCGTTTGTATCAATTTATGGTGTTATGTGTTTTATAACAATAAAGGGAATAGGCAAGAGCCAGCCAAAATCAAGCATTCAATCAAATTAAGCTTCTCTTATTCACAATCTTAGGAGCTACGGTGGCTCAAGTAGTTAAGACGCTGAACTGCAGGCTCTGGAAGGCCAGTAGTTCAGCCGTGCGAGACCCGAGTGTGCCGCATGACGGAGTGAGCTCCCATCTCTAGTTCCAGCTCCTGTCAACCTAGCAGTTCGAAAGCAAGAAATTGCAAGTAGATAAATAGGTACCGCTTCAGTGGGAAGGTAACAGCGTTCCGTGCGCCTTGGTGGTTAGTCATGCCGGCCACATGACCACGGAAACGTCTTCGGCCAGCGCTGGCTCTTCGGCTTTGAAACGGAGATGAGCACCGCAACCCTAGAGTTGGACTCGACTGGCTTTCGAGCAAGGGAACCTTTACCTTTACCTTTATTCACAATCTCGGTGGGGTTGATAATCTTGGGGGTGGGGGAGCTGTCCAGGAATTGCAACTGGTCTCCAGACTTCAGAAAAGCATCCCCCTGGAGGAAATGGCAGCTTCAGAGGGTGGACTGTGTCGTATACCATAGAATCTAGTAGAAACATGAGTCCTGGAACAGCATCACATCCCTGCTGCGCCACCTCCCCTCCCCAAACTCTGCTCTCCTCCAGGCCCTGCCTCCAAAACTCCAGGAATACCCCAAGCTAGAGTTGGCGATGCTACCTTATATCAAGAAAGAGGAGGAGGAGGAGGAGGAGGAGGAGGAGAGTTGGGTTTTATACCCTGCTCTTCACTCAGAGTCCCAGAGCGGCTTACAATCTCCTTTCCCTTCCTCCCCCCACGACAGACACCCTGTGCAGTAGGTGGGGCTGAGAGAGCTCTTTCGAGTACTCCTCTTAAGAAAACAGCTCTGAGAGAGCGTTGACTGACCCAAGGTCACCCAGCTGCTTGCATGTGAAGGAGTGGGGAATCAAACCCGGTTCTCCAGATTAGAGTCTGCCACTTGTAACCACTGCACCAAACTGGCCCTGGTAACCACTACACCAGAGAAAAAATCCATCTCTCTCACTATTGTTTACTTATATTGGCAGTTGAATATAAATAAAATTCCCCCAAAATTCTGGTACCTAAGATCCATTTTCATTGGAGATGCCAGGGACTCATGCGAGCATGTGCTTTCCTGCTGTGTCTAGTCTTTATTCATAGCTAACAAATGAGTACACGAGCTACAGCATTTGCTTTTTCTAAAGGAGGCTTACGGACAAAACTTCTACCATAATGAATGTAAGATGCTACTGGACTCAAATACAGCCCAAATAAATGTATTAATCTTTAAGGAGTTACAGGACTTCACTCTTTGTATCAGCTTGAGTAATTAATGGATTTATTGTCTTCAACATAAACATTCACAAGTACAGTAGCAACAAAATCCATGTGCGTAGCATAATCAAACTTAAAAACATAATGAAAGAAAGATATCAAATGACAAAGATATCAAATGACTGTCAAACATAAATTTTAATTAGTTGCTGTAGATTTTCCGGGATGTGTGGCCATGGTCTTGGCAAGACCCCTTGCACGATCTGTCTCTCACCAAGGCACGCCTGCCCCCTCCCAGTTCACAAAAGTGCCGTTGTCTTTCTCAGTGAGACGGCCAAAGGTGTTCAGGATGGCTCTTGCACTTGCATCCACTGGCATGGTGGCCTGCCCATTTGAAAAGAGAGAGTACATGAAGACTTGCGCTGTGCATTAAAAAATGATAAATTAGTAAGAGGGACCAGTGGTCAGGGATGAAAGTAGGCTGGTACAGTCCAGTACAGGGTATTAGTAGGAAAGGGGCCTCCCATCTTCTGCTGGGGGAGGGAGGGACAGGTGAGTGAATGCTGGTAAGAAATGTAACAGGACAATCCTGAACTAGGGTTGCCAACCTCCAGGTGGGGGCCTAGAGATTTCCCAGAATTATAGCTCGTCTCCAGATGCCATAGATTAGTTCCCCTGGAGAGAACGGCTGCTTTGGAGGGAGGACTCCTTTGCATTGCACCGGGCTTAAGCCCCTCCCCTCCCCAAACTCCGCCTTCCCCAGGCTCCACCCCCAGATCTCCAAGAATTTCCAAATCCAGAGTTGGCAACTGCTGAAATTCTAGTCATAATCCAACACAGAGTTCAGAAAAAACCGGACGCACTTCTGACACTACGTTGGATTCTGGCTCTAGTGTGGGACTAGAGATCATTTTTGGCCTGGTTCAAGGACGCGATTCTTAGGTTTTTAGTTAGTGAGGATGTCTGAAGTATCTTTGAAATACCAAAAGTTAATAAACCATCGGAGCCTTATTTAGCTGTAAACCTAAAATATTGAAATCAATCTGGGATGTGTGCAGACAAAATTCACCCCATGAATCACCTACCTCTGTTCCTCCCATGTCCGTCTGCACCCATCCAGGATGCAATGCAACGCACAGGATCTCGTCTTCCGCATATCCCAGTGACTGGCACCGAGTGAGCATGTTCAGAGCAGCCTACGAGAGAGAGAGAGAGAGAGAGAGACATGCCAGAAACTGGGGAGAAGAAGCATTCAGTTCCATGAGGAGGCAACAGGTCAACGGCAGGTTTTGTAGATCTAGAACAGTGGTAGGGCTTTCTGCATGGGTTTTTCCACTCGGTTCTGCCCTTAGAGTGCTTCGGTTTCTCCCCAGTTTTCTGCATACATTTTTGTGCCTTTAAGCTTTCACTTAGGTCCTGTCCCAGGGGGGTTCCTGGTTATTTTGAGGCTGAGAGAGCTCTTTCAAGAACTGCTCTTTTTCAAGGACAGCTCTTGTCAGAACTATGGCTTGCCCAAGGGCATCCATCAGATACAAGTGGAGGAGTGGGGAGTCAAACCCAGTTCTCCCAGATTAGAGTCCGCACACTTAACCACTACACCAATATTGATACATTAATATCCTGTTGTAATGACAGGCTTAGCAGGTTATCTGAATTCCCAGCTTTAATTTTAAAAAGTATCTAGCACCTTCCCTTTCAGCGATATGCCTTTTCCCTTATACTTCCAAGAGGAAAAGGGACGGAGGCTTACTTAAAAAAATAAATAAATCACAGCTGGGAATTCAGAGAACCAGTTAAGCTTACTGTTACAACATCCTGGTGTCCCAGTGTAATGATGTCAGTTCTAGGTCGCTCCGTAAGTGATGTCACAGCATCAGCAGTTTGGTGTGGTGGTTAATTGCGCGGACTCTAATCTGGGAGAACTGGGTTTGATTCCTCACCCCTCCCCTTGCAGCTGCTGAATGACCTTGGGCAAGCCATAGTTCTGACAAGAGCTGTCCTTGAAAGGGCAGTTCTCTCAGAGCTCTCTCAGCCCCACCTATCTCACAGGGTGTCTGTTGTGGGGAAGGGAAGGGAAAGGAGATTGTAAGGTTCTCTGAGACTACAAGTGAAGGGCGGGGTATAAATCCAATCTCTTCTTCTTCTCCCTCCTCCTCCTCCTCCTCCTCCTCCTCCTCCTCTTCTTCTTCTTCTTTTACATGAAACTGAAAAAATAAGTCTTTGCGCCCCCTCGGTCTCCCCTGGTTGCTGGCAACCCTATTTCTAAGGAATCTAAGTAACATTCTTTCATGTTCCCCATTAGGCATAGATTGTATTTATTTTACTTGCAGCAGCTCTGAACACACCTTTTTTTCCCAACGAGTCTGAGCTTGCTTCTAAACATTTCTCATCCTTATATACTGTACCATCAAAAAAGGATATAGGCCTTAGCAGTTACATAAGGGAGGAGGGGGAAGACCAGCATCCATTCCCCGAGGGAGATTACACTCTAAATTTTGAGAATGGAAAAGACAACAGAGAAGTTAAGCAGATGTCGATGTCAACATCGAAGAAGAGAAGAGATTGGATTTATACCCTGCCCTTCACTCGGAGTCACAGAGCGGCTTACAAACTCCTTTCCTGGGGTGGAACGTGTGTTGGGAAACTTCTGTACTCTTTTTCGAAAAACAAATTTTATTATGAGGATATAACAGCAAGTCCAACTTTTAGCCATATCTCAATTCTTAATACATCCCTTTTCCAATATCCCCTCCCTCCCCAGCTTCAGGCTTCCCGCAGCGTTCCCACCCCCGACTTCATATTCATTTCCCAGTTTTTTCCTTTTTCATTAACGTTGCTTACATGTTTACAGTTTCCTTTACTCTCTTAGTTATATTTTTCAACATTATAGGTAACTACTCAGTAACTTTTTAATTCCAACATGTCTAACGTCTATTCTTAATAGTTATTAAAGCAAAACAATTTATTTTTAACATCCCAGTGTTTTTCTATATAATCTTTAAAATCCTTCCAATCTTCAAAGCATTCTTCATCTTCTCTGTTATTTAGTTTTCTCGTCATTTTGTCCATTTCTGCCATAAAAAGTACCTTCCTTATCCACTCCCATAATTCTGGTTTCTTTTCTTGTTTCCAGCATTGAGCATAAGTCATTCTAGCCGTTGTAATCAAGTACCATAGCAGTGTTCTTTTTGCTACATTCACCTCTTCCATTTTCAGACCCAAAAGTAATATTTCTGGTTCTCTTTTGAAGGGACATTTCAAGATTTTTTGCATTTCATTATGGACCTCAGTCCAAAAGTTCACTGCTTTGTCACAAGTCCACCACATATGGTAAAAGGAACCTTCTACTTTTTTACATTTCCAACATTTGTTTGACATATTATCACTCATATTAGCAATCTTTTTTGGCGCCATATACCATCTATACATCATTTTATAACAATTTTCTTTTAAATTATTACGTGTTGAAATTTTCATTGAACTTTTCCATAAACATTCCCAAGAAGACATAGATATCTCTTTATTCATATTAATTGCCCATTTAATCATTTGTTCCTTTACCGTTTCGTCTTCAGTATACCATTTCGGCAATACTTTATAAATTTTTGATATCATTTTTTCCCCTTTTTCCACCCACCCACACACATTCCATTTCATTATTTTTTTCTCTGAACCCAAATTCCTTTTTATCAGCCTTATATAAATCATAAATCTGTCTATAATTTAACCAATCATATTCAAAATCTATCTCCTCTCTACTTTTTAACTCAAGATTTTTCCCTACCACCTTCAGAATGTCTCTATACGGTATCCAGTCCTCACCTTTATGTCTTGAATATTGTTTAACAACTTCCGTTGGGACTATCCAAAGTGGTCTTTGTTCAAAGAAGAATCTTTTGTATCTCATCCAAGTCTCAAATAACGTTCTTCTTATATAACGGTGTTTGAAAAAATTATCCATTTTTACTTTCCCATACCATAAATAAGCATGCCAACCAAATTTGCAATCATGTCCTTCTAGTGTCAATAATTTCCTGTCTTCCAAATTAATCCACTTTTCAAGCCACGTTAGGCACACAGCATCATGGTAGAGTTTAAAGTTGGGTAGTTGAAATCCTCCTCTCTCTTTTGCGTCACACAGGATCTTCATTTTAATCCTTGGGTTTTTTCCGGCCCAGACAAATTTTGAAATCTCTTTTTGCCACACATTCAATGGTTTAGCATCGTTTACTACTGGAATAGTCTGAAATAAAAACATCAATCGAGGCAAAACATTCATTTTAACCACTGATATTCTTCCCATTAATGACAAGTTTAAGGTGTCCCATTTTTGTATGTCTTGCTGTATTCGACTCCAAAATTTGTCATAGTTATTCTTAAAAAGGTCTATATTTTTCATTGTCAATTCAATACCTAAGTATTTGGTTTTTTTAACTACTTCACATTGTATCAGATCTTGTAATTCTTGTTGTTTTTCTCTCGTCATATTTTTGCACATCACCTTTGACTTATTCTTGTTCACATAGAAACCTGCCAAATCTCCAAATTCTTTTATTTTCTCCATTATCAGTGGAAGAACTCCAATATATCTTCCCTCTTTATTTTTAAAAATTTCTTTAGGTTCCAGTTCTTTGTTAACATAAATCACAGTACCATTGTTTTTCTTTGCTGTCAAAGAATAGAATTCTTCTCCTAATTTTTTGTCAATCAAATATTTGCTGTCTTGTTTCCTAATATGCTCTTCTTGCAGACAAATTATATTGCATTTTTGTTTAGCCAACCAATATTTTAATTTCCTTTTATTAGGCGAATTTAGCACATTCACATTCCATGATAAAAATTTGTAATCCATATTGTCTTTTGTTACTTATCTCCAAAATCTTCTAAATTGTCGGCCAAAAATCTATACATTTGCTCTGTATCTTGATTGTATATCTTAACGAATGGTAAGAGAAAGACAATCCTTGTGGTATTTCCCATCTGAATCTGATGCTAAGTTGCTTCAACTTATCCACCAAGTTCTTGTATTTTTTCCTGTCTTGAATAATCGTTCTTGGGAGCTCCTTCATTATTATTATCTTTTTCCCATCAATCTCCAGTGATTGTGTAAATTGTTTCTTAAAAATATCCTCTTTCATTTTTTTTGTGGTCAGTTGCACAATCACATCTCTCGGCAACTTCTTCTTCTGGGCATACGCTGAATTAACTCTATAAATTAAGTCAAAACTGGCATTCAGCACACCATCATCTTCTTCCAGGAACTCTGTCAAAGCTGTAACCACTGTTGAACGGATATCTTCATCTGTTTTTTCTTCAATACCTCTCAGCCTCAGATAGGTTTTCTTGAATCACAATTTCCAATTTTTGTCAATATCTTGTGACTTTCGCTCCATTTCTGAAGATTTTGTCGCTAAACCTTGAAATTCTTTTTAAATTTCTGCCATCTCTTTCTTGACCTCTGCTACTTCAGAAACCACTAGTTCTTTCATTTTGGCCAAAAAAATTTCTTGCACGTCTTCTAGTTGTTCCATTTGTTTTTCCAACTGTTTTTCCATCTGCTGCTCCAGCTGTTTCCCCAAGACTTGGATAGCTTCCATCATTCTTTTTTCCATGGCATCCATTGCCGCTTGCCACTCCCTTTTTTCTTTCCCTGCCATTTTTGGACTCGATGTTGATGCTGCTCTCTGTCTGCCTCTTAGCTCCGTTTTTGAAAATTTTTAAATTCCGTTGTATTCCAAATTCCTGTATATATTCCAAATCTCTTTTATGCGCTTATTCGAATCGCCAACTTTTTGCTCTTCTTTAATTAAAGTCCAACCTTAAATTTACTTTTTAAAGTTCAGTCCTCCGCAAAATGGCGGGCACAATTTCTCTATGGTTTTCAGGCTAGAGTAGGCTCTTCTTTATCTTCCTGTTTCCTGTCCAGCCAAGTATTCCGTCCCTTAGTGTCCTTCTTTTTCCCCTCCGATCTTCTTCTGGTTACCTGTCAGTCCTCCGTCATCCACTCTAGCACTCAGCTTGTCTCTCCTCTCCCAAATCCCACCGGAAGTGCATTTTTGTTACTCCTTTGTTCTCTCTTTCTCACGATTTTTTATACGACAGTTTCAATTTTGACCCTGCTGTTTCTCTCTCGCCACCACAGGAATGTTAAACAAAGTCTTTCTTGCTTGATTTTATGCGTTTTAAAAGTTATTTCAGTCACCGGAATGGACCGTTTGCTTTTTAAACAACTTTATGCGCTTGTCTGCTTATTTCAAACTTCGCTTCAACTCTCTCCCGGTAAGCAAAGCGTTTTCGTTATCTTTCTTGTTTATCTTAGGTTTTCGCGCTGCTTCTCTCTGCTCCAGATCAGTCTTAGTTCTTAAGAAGTCGGGAAATGGCAAATTTATGCTGAATCCTCAGCTCGGCTGGCTCCTTTAGTGCTGCTTGCAGGTGTCCGCTTCAGGGGAGGAGATCAAAGTGTTAATCAAGCCTCCAAGCCTTGATCCCACCGATCTCAACTCTCTCCTTGGACCTAGTTGCTTGCTAGTCAATCTCCCTGACTAGGGGATGCCGCGTTGGGCAAAAACTTGCCCAAACTGTCAGAAGAAGCCACCGTCCACCCTGAGCTATTTCAGGGTGCGTCAACTCGTCATTTTATCCGACCGGAAGCCCCTGGAAACTTCTATATTCTTAATTTTTAACCATGAAAAAAGAGTCGACCCCTCCTCCTTGGTCCCTACCTTGCTACAGCGGTAACCAATGCACGGCACAAGGTCAAATATGAGGATGTTGGTGATGGAGCCGCCTTCGCTGGACACGTTGATGATGGCAGCTTTGCTGCAGCTCATCCCTTTCTGGCGGCTTTCCTGAGACGCCTTCCTCAGCAAGAGGAATGCCTGGAGAAGGAGAGGGAAGAATCAAGGAGAGCAGTGCCACCATTTGTAGGAATATGGGCTGTTACAATTTTTGTTTTGTTTCACAGTCACTCCCTGTTTCAGTTTTTCTCTTTTCTAAATGGCAACATAAAAACGCGTACACATTCACAGTCCAAAATAATATAATATTATTCAAAATTATTATTCAAATATGATATTACTCAAAAGATACCATAAACAAACTGCCTGTTTCCCGTTTCAGATTCCATTTGTTGGAATACAGAAGGACAACATCTGTCCATTTTTCTCATGTCTTTCCAGAGCAACCAAGCTATTTTTTTAGGACAGTTTTGTTCTTTCCAGTGCTGGGCAAAAAGAAGTCTTGCAGCCATCATCACACTCAATATTATTTCCTGATTTCTCCTTAGAACCGTTCCAGTACAAATAAGTGGAAACAGTTCCAGTATAAAGGGACACTGAACGGCTAACATTTCCAGTATAAAGTTTATTATAATCAGTTTTCATGGTTTAGATCAGGGGTCTCCAACATGGCGCCCATGGATGCCAAAGTGCCCACCCACTTTCCCAGTTGGCCACGGGTGCGCTATGCTTCCCAGATGTTGTGGTGTGATCGCACCCCGAAAATCCACTGGACATTCGTGCCTTTCGCGCGGCAAATTCAACATGTGACCAGGGCCTTATATACTCAAACCATCTCTTCTTGACTTCCAAATTCTTATCCTCATTAGCTTTTCCTGTTTTAATATCGTTAATATGTCCGACTGTACCCATTCATATAAATAACCATTCCATCTGTCTATAGTCCATTTTGTAGCATCTTTCCAGCCAAGCGCCATAACCGCATGGGCAGCTAAAATCATAGCTTTAAATAGATCCTGATAGGATTTATCTATTTTATAATTGCACCTTATGTCTTGTATGCATATCACTGTCCTTGAAAAAGACTGTACTGGGTACAGGTAAATTACTAGAGTCCCCTGGGACCAGTGAATGTGAAACTGAAAAGGTGCTGTTTGAATGTTTGAACATAGTGTAAACCTGGACTTTGATGTATTGCTTTGGTGAACCTTTGTTTGGTAATACTTGACGCTAATATTTACATAATAGTACAGAAAAATTTAAAAAATAAAAAGCACAAAATAGATCTACCTTAAGCATACATCTATAATACAAAGTGTCATATCTTATACCATAAGCACCTAGAAGTTGGCAACCCTAGATCATGTCCCCCTCCTAAAATGAAAAGCCGCATATGACTGGAATTTCTGTTTGCCAGGCAGTGGTTAGACAGAAGACTGTCTTCTGTAAAACAAAGGGCAGCGGGTGGTCCGATAATGAAGCCACCAAACACTACAGGCATTAAGAGCTGTAAAATGCAAGATGTTTCTGTGAAGAAGGGGCCATAGGACTTCCTTACCTGGGTCACCATCATGGGCCCTATCACGTTGTTTTTGTACACCTCGGCCATGTCCTCTGCTGTCTCTGATTCCAGACTGTTATCCTTTGCCACCCCAGCATTGTTAATCAGGAGATTCAGCCCGGCTCCTTGCAGAAGATCTGTGACTTTGGTTACAGCAGCCTGGATGCTGGATGAGTCTGTAATCTCTGCAGCAGCAAACAGAAGGTTTGAAAGGTCATTAAAGATGAAGCATCCCAGCCAGGTTCTATCCCTGTGGGCCTGTGCGCTGTAGTCAATGTAACGTAGTGGTCACAGTGTTGAGCTAAGATTTGGGGGACTTTCACCTCGAGAGCCACACCTGATTTACAATATCAGGCCCTTGTTTGCGCATCTTCCTCTCTTCTGTAATTTTCAAAATGAGGGAAAGCAGGCCCTTGTTTGCGCATCTTCCTCTCTTTTCCCCTGTAATTTTCTACATCAAAATGAGGGAAACGATTCTCTTTCTTCCATTGCATCTGAAGAAGCGAGCTCTGACCCATGAAAACTCATGCCGGAATACATACTGTTAGTCTGTAAGGTGCTACTGGGCTTCTGCTTTGTTTTGCTGCAGTACACGGTTGTGCGTCCTTGCCCCTTTCTGCCCACAGGGTGTCCTCGCACCCTCCCTTGTCCTTGGAAGTAAGAGGGAAAGGAGTTCTATGACACCTAAATCTCCCAGGATTTAGGAAAAAGCCACCCACATGCAATGCTCCCTCTAAACTGTGGAGACTTGTGAGCAAAAATTCTAGTTTGTGAGCTACTGGTATTAAAGTTGTGAGCTAGCGATTTGGCTACTGCCAAATCTGGAGCATTCCTTCCTGAGCTAAGAAAAAAAATATGTGAGCTGAAGGCTAAAAAACTGTGAGCTAGCTCAGACTAACTCAGCTTAGAGGAAACGCTGCCCAAGTGCCACATTGGCCTCTTCCCACCCGCTTTTAAAAGCAGTCGTCCAGATGACACGTGCTCCATGGGAACTTCCTTCCCTCCCCTGAAAACGAGTCACCCTTGGGAGGCAGGTCAGCCCCCTCAGCACCTGTGATTGTATCTTCCTGTCCCGCCTCCTCCCAGCGCATGCTGGTTGGCTGGCTGAGGAGGCTCTTCCTCCCCACCACAGCTGGCTTCTTCCTGGTCTCACCCCAGATCTTGAAAGTAGGATCAGCCTGGGTTGGTACTTGGCTGGGAGGCCACCAAGGAAGTCCAGGGTCATTATGCAGAGGCAGACTATGTCAAACCACCTCTGTTCATCTCTTGCCCTAAAAACCCAGGAGGGATGCCATAAGTCAGCTGCAACTTGACAGTACTTCCCAGCACAGAAGCAGCTTGTATGTTCCCCCAGCTTCCTTTTATCCTACAGAGCTTAAGATGCTGAGCGGCAGACCGGAAGGTCAGTAGCTCGGTAGTTCGGGACCCGGGTGCCGCATGACGAAGTGAGCTCCCATCTCTGGCCCCAGCTCCTGCCAAGCTAGCAGTTCGAAAGCAAGAAATTGCAAGTAGATAAATAGGTACCACTTTGGTGGGAAGGTAATAGCATTCCATGCGCCTTGGCATCTAGTCATGCCAGCCACATGGCCACGGAAACGTCTTTGGACAACGCTAGGCTTGGAAACGGAGATGAGCACTACCCCCTAGAGTTAGATCCGACTGGCTTTCAAGCAAGGGAAACCTTTACCTATCAATTATTTGGAGGGAAGGTGGCATGGTATAGCCCAGTCTCACCAGATCCTGGAAGCTGACGACTCAAGGACGACTCCGCAGCAGAAGGCAATGGCAAACCACCTCTCTTGCTCCCTTCCCCTGAAAGCCCCTTGCTAGGGTCACCATAAGTCAGTCGCAGCACGACTTGCATGAAAAAAAGTTGTTATTGACACCTCCTACTAATTCAGCAGAATGATTCTTCTGCTTGTAAATTTCCCATCGGTTGCTTCATAAAGTCATCACAGGAGTGTCCTTGTGGCAAGAAGACCCAGGAAGACCCACCGTCTTTCTGCATGGCCATTCCGAATGTTTCTAAACTGCATTTTAGCCATTTCACAAAACACTGATTTATTCTCGCTTCAGCAATTACATGGTGTTGCCCCTTCCATGCTGATTTGTGAGAGGTGCACATCTCCTCTTTTCAATTTTTAAAAAATTCTCTTGAGAAGTTTAATTTTCTTCACGAGGAAGTGGAAACCGTGCCACAAGGTGTCGCTGCAGGGCTGAGCAACAAATGGACTACAGCTGAGCAGAGGAAAGAGAGCCTTGCCTTTTTGCATGACATTTCATCACCAACCCCACTCAA